CAATTACCACTTCCAGGCAAAATCAGAACTCATTACACTCTGCAGGCGAGCGGCAGTACAAGTCTGTGTGTGTGAGACAAAGCAAGCAGCAGGTTATTTGCTGCTGATGTGCACTTTTCTCCAAACATGTTATCACAGTTAGTGACAGATGAGAAGCTCCGAGGCAGCATCTCCGGGCCCTGCTGCTGCTATTGGCAGCAATAAGAAGGGACAGACAAGAAAAAGGGACTGGGATTATTTACACCAAGGACAGGTGGTCACACACACACACACACACACACACACACACACACCTCCACAAACAAACACTGTACCCACGTCTGCAGCCCCAGGTAGCCTGGTGGCCCGGCTTGGATGACAGGCACTGTGGTCTGTGTGATGGGGTCATGAGGCTGTAACAAAAGAAAAGCTGTGTTTGAGCTTTTAGAGCTTGTGACCAGGCAGGTTGGTGCTGCCCTCTAGTGGCTGAATCAATAAAAGGCTTGATAACACTGGGGGTCTTTGATTTCTTAGGAAGCGTCCTATAAGAAGTCATAACTTGGAGCTGACTATAGGGTGTAACTGGTTTGGAGACTGTGTCCAAACCAGACCTCTGTGAGCTCGGGGCCAAACTGGCCTCAGTACCTCTGATCTACGGTCTGTTTGTTGGTTCAGAGGACATTTTAAAACTCTGAACTAAAATCTCTCATCAATTTAACACGATTATTTTAAAAGACTACACTCGAGTATCTACAGCGCCACTTGTAACTGCAGACACTACTCAGGGCTGTAAAAACAACTTCTCTTTAAGTTTTTGAAACAAACAATAATTTCTCTGGATGAAGAATTAACAGAGAACACTGTGAAATCTCACTCTGCTCACATGCTCTGCAGTCAGTCCTGGGTTCCCCTACTGACCAGAAACTCACCAACTGACCAAACTCAGACATTACCATCACATCAACACGGTCGTGGGTCAAGTCCTGGGACCTTAACTGTGTGCGACCAGGGAGGAACCCCAACACCAGGAAACTGAATCTCTTCCTTTGCTTTCATGTGGGGAACCTTCCTAAACAGGCTGTTTGAGGTCTCGAGTCCTGCTTTAAAAAACAGGACTCTGGGTTTTCTCTGCATGTCTGTCGGTAATATTTTTGCAGCATGTGGTTGCAGAATAGTTTCTTAATGACAGGGGAAGCCTGAGCGGTGCAGGGCCAGCTCCACGGCCTTCTGTGTAAACAGGCGTAGCTGGCTGCCATCTGGTTGGCCTCAGCTTCAGAGCAGAGGCCCGACGAACACTCACTGATGATCTGGTTCCAGCTCCAGCTCACAGCAGAATATTTAGGAAGAGGTTAGGATGCTTTCACCCACATGATTAAAGGCTCAGTTCACTCAATTACAAAAATAAATGTTCTTGTTTCCTTCTTAAAGGTTTAGTTGAACTTGCTGAGCCAATCCCAGCTGACACTGGGTGAGAGGTGGGGTCCACCCTGGACAGGTCTCCAGTCTGTCACAGGGCTGACATGTAGACAAACCACCACACACACTCCTAGGGGCAGTTTAGAGTCACCAGTCAATCTAAGCTGCATGTCTTTGGACTGTGGGAGGCAGCTGGAGCACCTGGAGAGAAACCACGCAGGCACAGGGAGAACATGGAGACTCCACACAGAAAGACCCGGGGTCGGCCGGGACTCGAACCCTGAACCTTATTGTTGTGAGGCGACAGTGATAACCGCTGCTCACACACTTCTCTTGAAACATTTAATGTCACTTTTCGATGGTGTGAGCAGCACAAAGGAAATTTCTAGGACTGAACTAACTAATTATGGTCATTACCAACTAACCTGATTTGTTTATTTGTCTATTAACAATTTACTCTATAAAATGCCAAACAAGTAGAAATACTGAAAACTAGATACAGGTGGGGTTAATCCACGGCTCTAAACTGTGGCACCCTGGTGGCTGGCTTCAGGCCCCAGTGTAAGTTTTAGGGAATGGAAAACTATGTCAGAGTTTGGTTTAGTTTGTTTCCACTGCTTAGGAGCAGCCAAAAAATCTGTTGCTATTAAAAATCCTTAGAAAAATTATATTTGAACAGATTGTGTTTAATAAAAAGTTCTAGAGCTGCTGTTTAATTAAGAGTTGAAACGGACAAACGTTAACGTCTACAGCAGATCAGCAATGCAACCACACACCCACCGCTGGGCTCCACAGCACCAAGACATCTTTATCTGTGGGACAGAGAGCAGTTTCCCAGACCTCTGTGAGCTCAGGGATCAGAGAAAAGCCTCTGAAAATAACTCCACAAAACACACAGAGCGAGTGCGCGGATGACAGCGAACATTCATACACAAAGTAGTCGAGTCTGTTGAGTGAAAGAGAAAGGCTTTACTTCTGTGATGTGACTTCATTTGAATCACAAAGAAACAAAGGTTTTCTCACAGCCCTGCGCTGAAAGCACCAACAGAAACATAAAGCTGCTCAAAACGACAAAAAGACTTCGAAATGCAAAGACGTTTTGCTGCTCTGTGCTGTGTTGTCATCCAGATAAGTACACAAACATATGCGACTTTTGACCAGCGACGCCCTTCGGTTCCCACGACCGAGCTGCTCCTTTTGTGTGTGCGATACACAGAGTGTGTCTGAGGCTGTTGTGCCCACAGCGAAGTGGGAGAAGGCAGCAGTGGGACAGACTGTGGGAGGCAAAAAGAGGAGACAGCACAGCAGAAAGAGAGAGCTCAAGCAGAATAAAGGTGCCCCTCAGAAACACTCTCTCTCATTGGTAGTTCATTAGCCTTGACCTTTCAGTTGACCCACGGTGAACACTGTAGCGAGCCCGCCGCCACACACACAGGGGAGGGCTGCTCTGTTGTTGTCTTTAAGTGTGAAGTTCAGGCCAAGGCCACATTTTCAAGAACAAAACAACAGCAGTGTAAAGCGCGCGCACACACACACACCCAAGCAGCACTTCCGTCCATTCTCTCTCACAGAGAGAGGAAGTGGAGTCGAGTCGGCCGGGCCCAGCTGCCCAGACAGATGGGGCCCGCCCACTTCCCCCTCTGAGCCCTCAGCATCCCTCACTTCCTTCCCTGCTCACTGTGCTGGTGTAGAGAAGCACCTGATGCTGCTCACAGCCCTGGTAAAGTCACTGCAACTCGTTCTCCCTCACAGGTCTCTGGACCTCGTACTTCCACGACTCCACATGCTCCATCACGGGACATATCGCTCAGCACTGACGTACTCAGCTGTCACTTATCAGGTGCAGCGGCTAAACCCACCTGCAATAAATCCTCCTTCATGAAGGAGACAATGTTCAAACTGTTTTTGTTCAATGCAGCACAGCCAGACCTACAACGCACGAGGCAACGGACGTGAAGTTCACCTATGGGAAAAGAGGATTCTGGGATAGCAGGCACCAAGAAACTGGCCAGAGACACAAAAGCTGAAACGTATTAATCTTATTGAAACGATGGTGAACAGTGTCCCGACAAACAACCAAGTAAAGCGAACGTCTTAGTGAGCATCAACATGGGAAACAGGTTTCTGGAAGATGAATCTGACCCGGCTCTAAACAGCTGTAACGGACACAGTGAACAGCGCTGTGTTGGGAACACACAACTCTGCAGTAAAACAACCGTCGCTCAGCGTTGCCACGCTTTGCACTACAGGTCTGTGTAGCAGCTGTGCTTCTTAGCTAAACCCTTGCAACACAGTATCGCGCTGCATCTACTTTGGTTTGTTAACGTTTATTAAAAAGCTGGATCTTCCAGAAATGAGCAAGAAGCAGTAGAACAACAGCCGCCATCTTGAGTCGTAAACAGGGTTCAGTGGGTAGAGCAGTCATTTCCCAACCAGACGGTTGAAGGTTCAAATCTCGGTGCCTGCAGTCCACATGTTGACATGTCCTTGGGCAAGACACTGAACCCCCCCATTGCCCCCGATGGTTAGAGCCATCGGTTGAGTTGGCGCCGCAGATGGCTGCCATCGGTTCTGTACCAAAAACAAGTTCCTTGTGTGTAACATACTTGGCCAATAAAGGTGATTATCCTTGAGCAAGAACTGCACTGGTGCTGTCGTGCATGTTTATGTGCAGCTGTTCTTCACTGTACTGCAGGAGATCCAGGCTAACAGCTGGGAAACGTTTCGCACTACTGTTACATTGTGCAACCCTACATCTGAACCTCATTTTGTGCCTTTCTCCAGTGATGTGCAGTTATGGAAACAACATCCACAGTCCAGCTCTCTGTCATCAGCTTGTGTGTTGACAGGAACAGCTTATTACACTGACTTCTGTGCGTGCGCTGTCGTGTCTGGATCCACCTGTCACACAAACAAAGACTGGCCTGCACAGGATGAGGACTGTGCTATAAAAGCCAAACACGTGGGCTGTGGCAGCTGGATAGCAGGGCTGTGTTCAGCTGCTGTACACAGGCAACAATTACAGCTACAGCAAAACAAGCTGTGTGACAGAATCTGGGAAGAAAACAGGGGCAATAAGGACTCACTTCTGTGTGTACAGCCAGTTAAAGATGTTCAGGCACGAACAGGAAGAAGCGAAGGTTATACCCAGCACCATCTGACCAAAGCTACTTCTAAACACTGACACAAATGTCTGATAAAAGGTTGAGCCCCCAGACAAGGGAACATAAGGCCATACATCTGTAAACATGCCATTACTGTGACAAATCTGAGCGAGTGAAGATCCTCAAACATCCATCCACTTAATGGCCGACCACTCCACACACTAGCATCATGCACTAAAAATCACATGACCGACCCACATAATGCTTCACTGTGCAGAGATGTTCATGAGTCGCAGCCTGTAAGACTGAAGCTCCGACAGTGTCTTCGCCTCTGACGCCATCCAAACAAAAGCAACATCAGGGATCTGACCAGCAGACGCTTCCAAACAGCAAAGCATCTTCAACACAGCTGAAATCAGAAAGCTCCATCACTGGACACGGCCACTGTTCGCCCCACCCTCAGCAGCAGCATCTTTATCGCATGGAGCGTGCGACTGATTATCAGGGGTCACTGGGGCCGAGTCTGAGGTGGGCTGCGGAGCGGTTACTGTACAGGATACACTTCTGGGGGTCGGCGGTCAGGGCCTCGCTGTAGAGGTGCACAGCCACAGCGTACTCCCCCTGCTGGCAGGCCTGGTTACTGCGACGCACACGCTCCAGGAACTCTGCTTTGCTCAGACTTGCCGGGCTGGAGCCAGGCGCTCGGCCTGCCCTTTTCAGTGTCGGGGCTGACGGGGTCACTGGGGAGGAGCAGTGGGGAGGGTCGGTGGTCCTGCTGGTGGAGCGTGAACCAAACAGGGAGAACTGAGGAGAGGAGGGGAGGCAGAGGAGAGCAAAGGTTTGAAATGAGTCAGCAACTATTTCTGTCAGACTTTAGCAAAGCAAAAAGATCTGTGCATCGAGTCCATTTGAGAAACAGCAGTCGTGGTGGAAGGTACAGGTTTGGGTACTTACAGATCTACTGAAGCTCATGAAAGCACAGCACCAGCTATTTCCACCCTGAACCTAATTATCCTGTTTTGAGCCGCGTCACTAAAAAGCTCAGACTGATCGAATGAGAAAATGTTTTTGACGTGGTGTTGGATCACAGCTTTAAACAGAACTCATTTTACACAGACAGACATGAAGTGTGCATTCGCCTGCTGTTACACGAGTCACAGCAACAACTTACTGCAGCTGCCTCATCTGTAGATGCTGGTAAACAGGACACCGAGCTGCTGCGTGCACCTTCCTTTACTGTTTGGTGGCAACAGCTCGAACTCCTCAGAGAGAAGAGGAGGGAAGTCAGACAGAGGTCCTGGCAGCCACACGAGGTTCTCTTCTCATTCGTTTCCGTCACACCCACTGAAACTTTGTAAGTCTGCACCCTGCTACTCCTCTGGTGCTTCAGCATCGAAGCACTGCCTCCCTCCCTGATCTGGTGTTTCCAAATGTGTCCTTTCACCAGGGCCTTCATTATGTCTCACGCACACACTGAAGCATCTGGGTACACACTTCAAATGTGCAGACTGGAGGGACTCCTAAAACTTCCCAGTGCATCACCCAACAGCTCGGAGCGAGATGCAGGAAAATGCATCATGGCGTTTAGAAAAGCACTGAAGATTCATCTGAAATAAACTTTAGCAAAGCAAAAAGATCTGTGCATAGCGGATAACATCAGCTCCACCTTTAATAGTGCATCAGTTATTGAGAAGTAAACGGTTGAATGAAAGGACTCAAGTAAAGCACAAGGACCTCAAGTGTCTACCTCAGTACATGTACTTTAGATTTCCATGTGACTTGTCTGTCATTTGTGTATTTGAATAATTCCATACAGCTTAGCGGTGCAGCCACTTTGTGGTACAGAGCATTTAGACACACACAGTGGAAGCAGCTGACAAGGTGACAGCAGCACTAAGTCCTGCAGTGGCACGTTTCCACGTTGCTGACATGTGCATCTGCTGCCTCGAACACCACAACACGCACAAACTGGCCCAAACGTTCGAGCTAGAAGAACAGCACTGTTCTCTGGCACATCCATACGCACAAGAGAAACAGGCAGGAACACAACACCAACATCCTGTCGCAGACGCACACACCTCCCCATCTCACTGCTCCCACCCTCTCAGTCCAGGTCAAAGAGCGAGGAGGAGGACGAGGAGAGGAAAGCTGTCCCTGATCGAGCTCTGTCAGGCTGTGGGTGATGCATCAGAGCAGCAGAGCTCAGCTGAAAACAGAAAACAATCTGCCACTGTCCATTTTTCAAGTAAAAGTACTAATCGGATGATTTCATGCTTTTCTTTGTCATCTCAGGGTTGGACTGTTGGAGACAGACATTTGGACTGGACAGACAAAGCTGTCTCAGCTCTGCCGACGTCAGTGTGTCACACTCCTTCAGTTCGATGTCGAGTCCTTTTAGCTTTTCACACACGACTGTCGATCACCTTTTTACCAACAGGTGAAGTCACAGCTCCTCAGCTCTGGAAACCCACCGGGTTCCTCACAACGTTCAGTCCCTGTACATGCACCGACAACCTTTAATAAACTCCAGATTCATCCATTAATCACAAACCAATCAGCAGGTTAATCAATAATATTTACATAACAGTTCAATCTAATCATCTGATAGAGCCTCTCCTTTCTGTGTGGGAACAGTTCACGTGCTCCCTGCTGCACAGTGACACTGTCCCACCTGCACCATACGGTTACACACTGGCCACTTTATTAGGGACACCTGTACCACAGTGTGCACCTCCACCTTGACATCTGGGTTCACGTGTTTCAGTTTCTGGTGAAACTGTCTTAAATATGTAAATGACTGAGGCCATAGTTAAAGGAGGTGTTGTACTGGACTACATTATATTCAGAGGTGTCTGTGTTTTTGTCCTCCCAGCTATGAGACGGTCAGAACATTAGAAACATTACAGAGAACGTTCTAATTTGCCTTAATTCCTTCTTGTGTTTTTATCAGCACACTCCCTTGTTGCTACACAAACCAACTTTCCTTTTCCTTTACCGGATGAGGACGGTGTTGCTCTATATATCTGACACAGTATACTGGATTCCTGACACTGTAGACAGATCCATCATCCTTCATCATTCTTCATCATCCCTGAACGGGCGGTTTGTTGTCCAGACAGCAGTCCACACAGCATTCCTCTTATTACTGCTATTCCCTGTGTTTTTACATTTACAATGAGCAGGTAAAGGTGGAGACCAGATGGAGCTGTGTGAAACCCGTCGCTCTCTAAGTTGTCCTACATGTGGACATGTGTTTTGTCTGATCCGCCACCCTAACCCTCCGAGAAGCCGCTACACAAGACGTTTCCTTGCGCCTCACCTTCTCTTTCCTCGTCCTCTGTTTTTCCATCTCCGCTACGTCCGGCGACAGCAGCTCCAAACTTTCATCCCACAGCAGCAATGAGGCGCTCAGTCACCATCCACAGCAAAGTTCAGCACAAGTCGTCCGCGGTCGCCTGCGCGCTCCCTGTTGGTCAACCTAGGGACACTTGTGCGCTACGAACCGAGCCTCCGAAGTGTTTCCTGGGGGGAGTTAAGGCAGAGTAACTGCGCCATGTTCCCACTGTCGATCTTCTCCCCAGAGCGGAATTGTTGTCCGGTGAGAGGCGGGGTCCGGCCGGCTCCGGGGCCGCGGCCCGCAGCGCGGCTTCCATTACTTGTCATGACATCAGAGAGGAGTTGTGTTACCTGACACACCTTCATTACAGCAGGCCTACAGGTATGTGCCAAAAGATTAGAATATCGAGGGAAAGTCCATTTATTTCAATAATTTGTTTCAAAAAGTGAAACTTACATGTTATATTAGTTCACTACACACAAAGTGAAATATTTCAAGCCTTTATTTGTTTCAATTTTGATGATTATGGATTAAAGACCAAAAAAAACCCAAATCCAGTATTCCACAAAATTTGAATATTTCATGTGACCAATAAAAAAATGATCTTAAACACATGTTGGCCTTCTGAAAAGTGTGTTAATGTACTGTATTATGTCCTCAGTACTTTGTTGGGCCTCCTTTTGCATTAATTACTGCATCAAGGCGGCGTGGCATGGAGGCGATCAGCCTTT